CATTGACTGCTCCTTAGTTTATGTTCCACTAAATCTTTATGTTTTCTGTAGACAAGCCAAATGTATGCCTTTCCATACTACCAGAATGTACACTGTCTCCCCTTAAAATACCATTTTACCATACCTCAGACCACTCTGAGTCTGTTTTGCATGGGAACTATTAAAGAGATTTGCTGTAAGACCTGAAAGCCCTCCGAGTTTGCCTTAGTCTAGTTACTAAGTTAAGGGTTTTATACAGGAAGGAATGTGTTTTTGACAGGACAAGACATCCATAGGGCTTTAGATTGCACCTTGACCCTATTCTTGAAAGGCAGTGTTGAACCATTTGAATGAAGGTGGACAACCAGCTACAGTAAGGTAATTCACCCATGAAAGACAAATATATGAGATTATGGCACTGCTCCTGAACCTAGCTAGGCTTGGTTCTGTACTGCAGTGAAATGCAGCTGACCAACCTTCTACAGTTTTCCCTTCCTTCCATGCCATGTCTTGGCTTCCAGAGGACTGAAGGAATGCATGTGCCCAAAGGTTACATRTTAAGACTTCAATTTAAAACGATTAAAGAAAATTACTTATATGGAAAATTCTGAGAGATCCATATATGTTTGTCACCTGGAGGAAAGAGAGAATCCTGATCCGTGGCACTGACCAGGGAAGTGCAGAAATTCAAACACAGAGGATATTAGATCTACCAAAGATAATCAGCTTTTACAGGAACGCAATTTCCCTCATGGTTTATTGCTCAAGATGATTATTGTAAAAAAGTTACATTTACATTGCTTTCCCAAGCAATTTCCAAAATAAACTATTCTAGATACAAAGCTGTTAACTCAGTGTAACTGTAGACACCATAAAAGCATGGTTAAACACCATAAAACCAGGCAGAAATATGTTCAGCCTGATTGTTTAAATATTAGCAACTGAAGTGCGCTAGTTCTCATCTGTTTGCGCTGAGCCTGAGTATCTAATCTCATCCCTTCCTCAGGCTTTTTCTCCCATTTTGCTGTGGATATTACCTGTTGGGAAAAGGTGAGAGGGAAGCACCACCCTTCTGCTCTGTTTCAGCAGGCTCAGGGCTGGCCTCTACCTGGCCTCAGAGCCAGATCAGATGCCTCAGACTGAAAAATTGGAATTTTCCTCCCCTACACAGTCTATGAACTGTGGGCTAATTTGGGGATCCAAATTTAGTAGGGACTCTGAGCCCCTGGCTCCTTTGAAGAGAACTCCCAGAGGGGTATAATGTAGGGAAATGACATACAGAAACTGTGGAGACGTGTCTAAATCTACTGTTTAGGTCCCAGACAAGAAAAAAATGGTCAGTAATAACTATCAGAGTACTCCAGATTTGTGCTGCTCAGAGGCAGCTTTGTGCCCAAAAGAAGCACACTGCATGGAGCTAACACAAGAGGAGAATGGAGGCTCCTTCTCTGAAAAAAAAAGAAKGGAAACTTCAGGTTCTGAAACAGGTTGTGCTCACTGGGTCTAGCCTGAAACAATTGCCATGTAAAAGAAGATTTTAATCTGCAGAAATATTTTCAATGGTCACTGTTTTTTTTAATTCAAATTAAATATTCAGATAATAAAACAAAAGATATTGGTTGTCCTATAAACAATAAGAAGACAGAACTACCTGGTTTAGTAGGTACTTAAAAATAATACTGCATAACTCACAAATGAAGTAAATGAAACACTTCCCAGGAATTTTCACCACTCTTTTGGCTGATATTCCTAAAGACATTTGAACAATTTTTGACAGGCATTGCTACTGCTGGCTTCATTCAGGTTGGCCAGAGTCCAGCTAGGTCTTCTGTCCAAGTCAAATGACCAGCAATGATCATTCACCACTGAATCATTCAGTTCTGCTTCTACTTTTTYATTCTACTACAGAGCACAAAATTCCTTTTGTTCATAAGAGGTTCAAGGTTTAGTTTCCATGCCCATGTGTAACTGTCTCTGAATAATAGAGGCTTTCGGATCCTCATAGGTAGTTTGATTAAGTATCCTTATTCACAGCAGGAATACTCACCTCAAGAAATGTCAACTTGTAAACATTTCAGTAAAAATGTTGCGATTTTTCATAGAATTTTATAGCACGAARAACTTTTATTTTCACTGTGTGGCTACAGCAAACCCTATTATTAAATATCTGTAACAGTTTTTTCTGACCTCTAGAATCATAGAGAAAATCTTAGAATCATTATGATTGGAAAAGACCTTCATCAAGTCCAAATGTAAGCACTTCAACATCATGATTGCTAAACCATGTCTCTAAGCGCATCACCTACGCATTTCTTGAACATTGCCAGAGATGGTGACTCCACCACTTCCCTGGGCAGTCGATTCTTTCCATGCAGAAATTCTTCCTAATGTCTAACCTGAACCTCCCTRGTGCTACTTGAGGCCATTTCCTCTTGTTCTATCCATAGGTATTCTGGAGATCGACCCCTGACTCACTATAACCTCAAGTAGTAGAGGGTGATAAGGTCTCTCCTGAGCCTCTTCTTCTCCACGCTAAACAACCCTAGCTCCCTCAGCAGCTCCAGCCCCTTCACCAGCTTTGTTCCCCTTCTTTGGACACGCTGCAGCAACTCCATGTCTTTCTCGTAGTGAGGGGCCAAGAATGAACACGGTATTCAAAGTGCAGCCTCACCAGTGTCAAGTACAGGGGGACGATCTCTTCCTTCATCCTGCTGGCTACACTGTTCCTGATACAAACCAGGAGGCTGTTGGCTGCCTTGRCCACCTGGGCACACTGCTGKCTCCTGTTCAGCCAACTGTCAAACCACCCCCCAGATCCTTTTCTCCTGCTCAGCTCTTCAGCCACTCTGCCCCAAGCCTGTTAAACTATGATAATGTGACTATGCTGCTCAGGCAAGAAGTTCCTGACCTGCAACAGTCTTGATCATGCCAGGTCAACACACATACACACAAAAAAAGTCTGGAAAATTCATATATATGAGAAATCTGAAAAATAATATCCATTTCACTTTGTTAGTGAACTTATAAACAAAATAAATGAAATTTTAAGGAAAGATTTTGGTTTAGTATCTGAATATTAATTGAAACCATCTCTTTTCTGCAAAAAAGAGGGGAGCTGAAAATTCACAGYAAAAAATAAAATGGAATATGATGTCTGTCCTTTCTCGGCAAGCTGTAGTACTTATATGGAGTTCTTCTTTCCAGCTTTGCTTATAGCTCAATTAAAGAAACTGTGTTAACTGATATTCTGTAAGCTGGAATGACATTCCGGTGGCCTTCAAATTTCTCTGATATATAAGAGAACAATCAGTACTACTATATTTACAGCATATAATATTTACAGTATATAAATATAGTATACTATATATTCAGTATATAATTATATCATAAGTATATATATCATTATATACAAAACAATATATGTTATATAATTATAATTGTTCTCTTATAAACTTGTATGTTTATAATATATTATATACTTTAAAAAATAGTAAATATAGTAAATATATTATTCTGTTGAGRCTATTTGAATTCCATGACTCTGGACTCTAGACTAGACTCTAGAGTAATGRAATTCAAAGTGTTTTAAATGAATTTTTCTCTCACCTGCTACTCAATCTCTAGTCCAAATGCTAATTTRCTATCACAGCCAGACATCAAGTCCATTGCTGAGGAATACCCAGCATCTAATAATAGAAGAACTTCTTCTTTTATCAAACTTTAAATTCTGGGAATTGATAGATATCTTGTAGGTCTATCAAAAATATACTAAAACAATGAACACATTAGGGATATCCGGGTTGGATTTGATATGAAGTCTCATATATTTAAGAACTGAATAATATTTCTGTCCTGCATGATTAGTAGCATTATGGTATAAATTATGTCTGAAATCGAAAGTCTTTCTCTTCACATCAAACAGAAKTAGACTGGACTTAAGTTGGTAAACCAAAAACTCTTCCACAAATGCTCAACTACACCTATATGAGCTATCCTAATGTGAGAAACAGTGTCAGGCTATTCCCAATTATATGTCCTCTCAGGGTAATATTGCTACAAAACTGCACATCCTGAATGAAATCACAAGCCAAGCTCTGGATTGATGTTTACAGTCCTCAAAACCTATCACTTCCAGTAGTGTTTGGTGGGGGGACGGCTGAGGACGATTTTTGTCTCAGAGGATTAGATTGTGGCTTGGTGCTTTGTGGAGCTCCAGTAGGTTGTACTAGTACAACTGATAATGGGAGATGATTCCACATTATTTAGGATAGCTCCCGTCTTTTTTTTTTCCTGGTGAGTTTCCAACATTCTTGTAAATTATGATTTTTATTTCTCTGTTTAATGTAATGTGGATCTCCTTAGAGGCCATTTCATTTTAGATGAAAGGCATAAAGGTTTTCCTCCTGTTACTAGGAGTACATTTAAAGATCTCTTCTTCTGATCTCAGCGAAATAAGTAGAAATCTCTTTAACTTCAGTGAATTGAATTTCCTGAAACAATAGAATTCCTGACTGCACTTGACTTGAAAATTTAGCTAGACAGTCTTATGTAGGCTCCCTAAAAAAGGCCAGTTGCTTCAAAGATGTAACATTCCCATCTGTCTCATCTTGGCCTTTGCTTAAAGTTATACAGGCAGCTGTTTTAGACTGTGTATAACAAACTTTTGAAGAAGTGTAATAAAGATAGACAATACAGTAACTGTATTGCTGAAATTACAGAAAGCAAACTTCCCTATATCCCTCCGGTTTCACTGATGGAATAATAAGAGTAGAGAGAGTCAAAGCTGCCTGCTAGCTGTGGCATGACATCAACAGGGAAGTCAACTGAAAAATTTGTTTAACGTGGCTTCATTTACCTCTTAGAATAATGATGCCATTACAGTAACACCACTAAAAACATGAGTCATGTCCATTGCCACATGCAGCTCTCAGGAGCTATATAAGCATTACAGCTGTGCTCTTGGCAGGCAGCAGATCRAACACTTCTGGCTTCAGCGAGGCTCCTTGGCAAGGCGGAGCATGATGCACTACCTCTTACTTTGTGCTGCTCTCCTCTTACCTCGGAGTTCTGCTTTTYCGACACCATCTATACAACAATCACAAGGCTCCACAGACTTAGAGCGCATAAAGGTATGTTACCAGTGGCGCAATGCAGCTGTRTTTTGAATAACCTGATTATTTTTCTTAGAGGTTTGACAGAACTACTACATTCCTTTCATGTTTATTTATATCATCTTATATTACATTAGCACAACCATTACAAATATATTCATGAGCTTTGCAGAAGTGACAGAAAGCAGTTTAAAGTTGCTGACTGACTTAGACTCTAGTTTGCAGACTTTTAAGTCTAATTTGCAAAAAGAATCAAGTTCAACCTAGTGAATTAAGAGGGGCATGTCATTTTAAAAATATCTCAGTAACATTATAGATACTACCTTGAAGGTGTGGGTATAAAAGCTTGGTAAAAAAATAATATTTGAAAGGATTGCTTTTTTTTACAGTGCCTTGATGCTATTGCAGTTCTTTGTATACATGTTACCCTATAATATATGAGGTGGCATTTGGTAAATTAAAAGGGAAGAAAAAATACAATTAGAAATTAATAGCAGCAATATTTGCAGGACAATGAAACAATGCTATCAAATATAAAATGCAGTTACTGAAAGATCACAGGCATACCTACTAATTTTTATTTCCCTATTCTTCTTTCAGGTATATCTTGATAAGTTCTTTCCMCTTTTTAGTAGAACAGATACCCAAAGCTTAGAAGACAGGATTAAAACAATGCAGAGTTTTTTCCATCTGACTGTAACTGGAACATTAAATGCAGAAACAAAGGAAATAATAAACCAGCCCAGGTGTGGAGTCCCTGATATAGCAAATTACAAATTTTTTCCTGGAAGTCCAAGATGGAAAAGCAAGTATTTGACTTACAGGTCAGTGGCATTTCAGCTTTTATAGGGAAAAGGACGACTGCTTAGTATCTAACTATGAGAGGTTCCTTCATATCTAAATGTTTAAATAGTATTAATCTGTTTCTTTTCACTGCCAGGATTGTTAATTATACACCTGATTTACCTCGAGCAACAGTGGATGAAGCAATAAGAAAAGCTTTCATGGTATGGAGTGATGTGACTCCACTGCAGTTCAGAAGAGTTTATTGGGGACAGGCAGACATCATGATTGCATTTGCACGTCGTGGTGAGACTAATTCTTTCATTTTTAAAGTGCAATGCATTTTTAAAGTGCATATTTGACTTAGAGCACACATTTTTATAGWTAGAACTTTAAGAAAGATCAAAGAGTTTAAAATTACTCTGAGGTTTGCATGGTTTACCTTCACTTCATCATGACATCGAATTTATTGATCTATTTTATTTCTTTGATAATAAATTGATTAATAAAAATAAAGAAATCTAATTTATTTAATATTAAGAAGTAGCTTTATCCTCATGAAACCACTAGACAATCACTTGGGTGTTACATTTGTGAAAAAAAATTTAGTTCTGGAATGAGTCTCCTAAATCTCGATATGTAGGGCTATGTCTGCCCTGACATAGCCCTGAATAGCCTTGACGAGTAGTTCAGACTAATAGGAAGAGATCTCTAGAACAMATTGGCTAGTTCTGAAGATCCAGCATTCATAGGATTCATATTTCAGCCAGGTTTCCCTCCGTCTAGTTCTGGTTAAGTCTGGTTCCCTGAACTAAACTACCTTTGGCAATTGGGGTGCATTTGGTTTGTACTTGCAGAGGGAAAGGGATTTTTTCAGGGCAGATGTAAATATTTTATCCTGACAGCTTTTATACTCAGGGTAGGTAAAGATAACATCCCATACAAGTCACGTGAGTGCAGGATAGTGCATACCCCAAAGCTAAGGACTAAATGGACTATCTATCAAAATGGGTTTTCTATCAAAAATCTTTGGCTTCCACTAAAATCACTGCAAGAGTGGATGTCTACAACTGAAGTWGCCCAACACTTCCAACAGTGAAAAATTTCAGGTCTTTATACCATTATCRAGCCTTTAATATCATTGCTGAAATAATCTCTGAACACTTCTCAAAATCACATTTTTGGAAATGTGGTTTTCAGAATTTTTTTTCAGTGATTTCTGATTCATGCACAAAGACAGGTCTGCCAAGGAAAAAAAATAGTAAACAGTTTTGCAAGTAAGTTAGTTTTGTCATACATAAGTTTTGAASTTCAGTCATGAATTTGGGGAGTGTTTCCTACTCCTTGCTTGATTTTAAAATCTTATCTTTCTTCTATTTCAGGAAACTTTAGTAAGAAGTGAAAATGCACAACTAATRTAAAAAAGTGGCCTGTGTCAAGTTGCTGAATTTGAACACTGCAGCTAATGCCCTCTAATGACATTTCTTTCTTTTCCAATGCAGAGCATGGTGATGGAAGTCCTTTTGATGGAAAGGGTAACATACTAGCTCATGCTTTTGCACCTGGACCTGGGATAGGAGGAGATGCTCACTTTGATGAAGATGAAGTGTGGTCAGAGAGCAATCGAGGTAAAACCCATATATCTGTATGAAAAGAGGCAGAGTAAATACATAAATCACAAGAACAAAGTCATACAAAATGCTTTTCACAACAGCAATATTTMTTTTTTTCTTTTCAACTACATTTCTGAAGTACTCCATTTCTTTAGCAGTTACATAATGACTGTTACATCAGGATTTTAAACACCTTCAAAGGTAAAACAAGGGCTGTGACCCTCTGTTTTCAACATAAAGTATGAAAAGGTACAATGAATGACTTGTGGGAATAAGCTTTTCTAACAAGAGAGTTTAAAAGAAACTTAGGGACTCTTCAGACCTATTCATGGTATCAGCGTGTATTTACTAAAATATTGGARTTAAGCAGGAAAATTCCATTTAAAAATGTCAAAACTCTGTAGCTTTATTTCAAGGGAATGAATGGTGCAAATTCTCCCTCTTTTTCAGACTCTATGCTAAAAAGAAATGTCACGTCTTTAATACTGTTTCCTATGCTTCTGTGCTGTAGGAGTTAATTTGTTCCTTGTTGCTGCTCACGAATTTGGCCACTCTCTGGGACTCGGCCATTCAAATGTCCGTGGTGCTCTGATGTACCCTACRTACATGTATATGAACCCCAAAACCTTCCGGCTTTCAGAGGATGATAAGCGAGGAATTCAGAAGTTATACGGTAAATTCATAATGAGATTAGATTTTCAAGACATAACCTACAGCACTACAGCTTTCACTACTCTCCGTGATTGCAAGGGCCTCCTCATATTACACAAATCAAGTAAGGGAAGAATATTGTGGGGAAAAAAAGCCATTCTGACACATTCATCCACTGCCATTTCTGTATTGCTGCTCACAGAGCAGCAGGGCAGACAGCCTGGCACATTGATTTTGACTCTAACTGCACATTGCAGAACAAATCCTGAGGACCTTGCTCAGTAAAGGAGCCACTTAAACGAGTGGGGCTACTGCCRGAGTAAGGTATTACTCCCCAAGAGCTACTGTCCTTCTCACCAAGTCAGTGGCACAGCTCAGTGGATATGAAAACTACTCTGCATTAGCAATGGGATTGATCCCATGGTGTAAATTTTGCTTGAGGTACTTTAACCATAACCTTTCTCAGGCCATGGAAGAGGAAAAACAATTAGAATAAAATATAGTTTTCTGAAGTGTCCATTTCCAGTATAATGAATCTGGTTTTTGTTTCCTTCCAACAGGACGCAAATCTAAAAATTCTTGAAAAAG